AAAGTCATTGCAAAACAGTGTTTAATTAATGTATTGTCGAAGGCTTTCACGGCCGGCATACGATGGCTGGTGTGGGTCTTCCGGGCTGTGTGGCCGTGTTCTGGCAGTTTTGTTTCCTAACGTTTCGCCAGCACCTGTGACCAGCATCTTCAGAGAGTAGGAGCACAGACAGGAGCATTTCTCTCTGTGCCCAGGGTGATGTGACCCTTTTGTGGGTATTTGTCATACCCACCCATAATCACCCCCAGCAGCCCCTCGTTAACAATTCAAAAGAAGAAAAAACCCTGCCTAATCCCCAGGAAGATACACACATATTCTGACACCAAAACAAGCAGCCACTCAGTAACCCAACCAGATCTCTATAAATACCCACAAAAGGGTCACATCACCCTGGGCACAGAGAGAAATGCTCCTGTCTGTGCTCCTACTCTCTGAAGATGCTGGTCACAGGTGCTGGCGAAACGTTAGGAAACAAAACTTCAAGAACACGGCCACACAGCCCGGAAGACCCACACCAGCCAGTGTTTAATTAGTTAAAAATTGCCATTTATATATTGGGGGTAAAAACCTGTGCTACAGTCCCAAATCCATTAAAAATAATTCCAAAATTAAGGAATACCCCAATCCTTAATGATTGTAATGCATAAAAAAGAAGAAAAAAGAAAAAAGTTTTCAGGCCTATCTAAAAAAAAACAGAAAAGGGTGTATGTGTATAAAACATCTCTCTCTAGGAACAGATTTCTGTAAATGAGGAGCCACCACTGAACAGGCCATACCTTGCATTGCTGACCATATAATTATACCTGTCAGACTTCAAAACTGACTGTAGGGCTTTGGCAGCTCCAATGTGTAGAAGTCATCCATCACATTATCCCAATTCCACACACATTAGGCTTTGATGGTCAAAACCAGCACTTTGAACTGGGCTTGACTGTGGAAGGTAGACAGTTCATTTAATATAATACTGGAGTGACATGCTATGAATGCTAAGCTACCACAAGCATCTGGATAGCTGCAATTTGCAAAACGAGAAACTTCCAAACATTTTTAAAAATTAAATCCATATGGAACATATTATAGTTCTCCAGTCTGAATGTTTCCAAGGCACAGCAACTAAAATAAAATCCTTCATCCTTAGATAGGCTCACAGCTGGCATACCATCCTAAGCTGACAAAAGGCATTCTTATTATTGTGGCCACCAATGCTTTCCCAAACAGCATCAAGTCTAGCCTTATCCCCAAGCTACAAATTTAGTTCTTCTGAGAAAGTGCAACTCCATTCAAAGTTAGTGGAACACCACCAAACAGGTTAATCAATCTGTCTTATTTGGATTAAACTTCACCTAATTCATCCTCATCGATTCTAAAATTGTCTCCAGACATTTATGGTGAAGTTCTATTCTGATCTTTGGCAAAAACAAGTAGAATTGTGAATCATCTACATACTAACTTTAGCACTATCTTCATTGTTCTTCTTTAGCAATAGCAACTAGATGTTAAATAACCCAGACACAAAATGTGGCATCCCTAAAGTCCTGAACTAAAATTTCCGCTAAGTTTCTCCCACCAGAACAGATCCTAATAATCATAACACAGTGCTATTAGTCCCAATCCAGTGAGATTAACATTACAGTAGTTGATATCAAAGTCATCCATCAGGATGGACAAATCCATCTCTAAAAAAATTCCTCTGTTCTGTCCCAGGCTGAAAGTTAAGTAGGAATCTCTCCAATAATCAGTATTCTCCAAAACTGATTTAACATACCATCACTCTCTCCAAAATCTTTCTTAAGAATAGAATGACAGCCACTGCTTGGTTTCAACAACCACAGGCCCAAAGTTTATTGGTTTTCCACCAGTACGTATCTCCGCGTTTCTAAGACCAACAAGCATCACCTCTTTCCTCAATGAGACATTAACAATTTCTAAAGGTACAGACAGTTCTGACAGGAGTTGCTGCCTCTTGAAAATTCTATATTTGAATCGGAATTATCTGCCCAGTCCTGGTTAATATCTATTGACCAGAATATGTAAACAGGAATATATTTATTGCTTGTTTCAAAATTGCATCTCTTCATAAAGAACTGTTCAAGGGCACAGGACTGTGTTGGTTGTTGAGTACTTCTCCCTGTTAAAACCAATGCTAGATGCTAAAATGGGTTTTATTTAGTTCAATTTAAAAACACTATACAACACTTCTTTTTTTGCATATTATTAGGATATGCCTCACCCCCCTTCTCTTGAACTATTAAAGTTTTAGGGCTCTAAAGCAGTATTTCTCAACCTTAGCAACTCCAAGATATGTGGACTTCAATTCCCAGAATTCCCTTGCTGGCTGGGGAATTCTGGGAGTTGAACTCCACATATCCCAAAGTTGCCAAGATTGAGAAACACTGCTTTAAAGGAATGCCTGTTCCAAGAAACTTTGGATAATTTAATCTAAAATTCTATATTGGTTTCTTCCTAACTTTGTGACCTCCAGATTTGTCAAACACGTGGAAAATTTCTGGAGCCCCTTTTGATAAGAAAATCATTTTGGCCTGATTCATTTAAAATTGAACATCTAATGAATTTAGACAAGGAGACACTGCTATGGAAATTAGCAAGCTTTGCACGGGCTGCTGATAAACAGAGATAATATTTTATCAAATATTCCTAATGTTTTCTAATATTTTATTGGTTGTAATAACACTGTTTTAATCTTTTTACTGATTTTTGTATATTTTAATGTATTTTATAAATGTATGGCCACTTTTGTGCAGGTTTTACCTTATTTGTTATGACCCATGGTCAAAACAATAAATTGAGCTGAAATTGCTTGTTAAACAATTAACAAATTGCTTGTTAAACAATTTGGCAGAATTCTGCCTTTGAGTCTTTTATTTAATTTTTTTTTTAAAAAAGGAACATTCTGGAAGGATCCCAGAGAATTAACTCTGGTTGCAACTATGGAGCTGCAGCAGAATATAATGCAAACAGGAGTTATCACAAGGGATGCAATATGCACGAAGTATATGGCATTTCCAAGACTTCTTACTTTGGTTTTTAAATACACTGTCTTCTTCCGTGGAAAGCTGTTTGTTTGTTACTCCAGAATCAATTGTCTCACACTTGTCAGAACATAAATAAGGAGGGAGCTTTTTATAAAAAAAGAGAATTATCCATTGGTGCATGACAGAAATATTTGTTAGGACTCAGACAGTTAATCTATAACCACTATAAAGGTTAAATAAAGGTACAATATAATCTAAGTGGAAAGGTTATGTGGCTATTGAAAACAAAGTGGGCTCTTTTTTAAAAAACAGAAAAACTGAGTTGGAGAAACTACCTGTCTGTTACCACCAAAAGTGACCTCTAAATACTAAAATGGTAGAAGAACTGGAATACCAGCTATTTTGAAGAAATATGGAAGTGGCAAAAATTCCTGATGGTCTTTCTGCTGGTTAGAAAAAACAAGCTGCTTTTTTAAAAAGTTGTTACCGACACAGAGGTTGATTTTTAGTTGCAGGCCTCTCCAAAGATATGTACAAAAGCAGAAAACATTTTAGAGTTAAAATGACTATCTTCACAATAAATAAACAGCTTCAACAGCTATTACCTGAATTAGAGAAATAACTTAATTTGTTGAAAACAGGGGAAGAAAAAAAAACAGGAAAAAAATGCCAGGCAAAAATGGTCTCCTGTAGGAGTTTCTTTTTATATTACAACAACTTCGACCACAAAGCATACAAGACTGAGATTTATGTTTGACTCTTAGATATAAAAATTGCTGACTGGCAAAGTTCTATACAAAAGGATACTTAAAATACTTCAACCTGATTTATAAGGAAATTGGAAACCATTATTGTTTAGATACCCTCAGCAGAATAAGGCACCTTTCCACTGGCAAGTCACATAGTAAATCTAAAGTTAGCTTAGTTTTAAGAGACAATTTTTTAAAAATCACACTTTCATTAAGATAAATGTTGTTAACTTATAAGCAAGCATTCAGTTAGAATTGAAGATATAATGGAGGCAGACAGTTTGATCTTCTATATATGGGCAAAAGAAATTAGGTTCAGTTCCTACTTGAGAGGATTTTGAAAGAGATCAAGAAAAAACTTTAAAAAAAACCCTCACTACTTCTCTGTTGTCATAGAATAAAAGAAACTGATTTAAGTTTGATTGAAATGGCGAAGAAATCTACTGAAAAATACTGTCTCATTCCACAAAGCAACATAGCATGTCTCGTAATGAAATGGCAAATAAAAAAAGGAAAAGGCTTAATAGAAAATGTATGTATGTATGCATTTATTTGTTATATTTATAACCCACTGAATCAACTCCCAAATTGGAATTGTAAATAAGTACAAATACTGACTAGTAAGTCACACAGAAATAAACAGATCCACAAAGACAGTATTTTTGTCATAGTTAATTCTTAAAAAAAAAAAATCTGAATTCATCCAAATGAATTTATCATTTATCTGAAGTATTTTAATTAGCAGTAGATAGTTTAGTATATTACAAGGGTGGTCAGTGTACAGGCTGTGGTTCCTAAGTCCCTGAGTGCAGCCCTACAGAATTTCAGCAGCAAAACAGTCAAGAAACAGGCACACAATTTCCTCCCATCTTCAGTGCAAAAGAGAAAAGATTAACACAAGCTTTGATTTAAACCTAACCCTCCTAAAAAAAACACTCTGAAAATCTGGGGGGGGGGGACTTGAAAATGTTGATCCTGAGCACTTCAATGATATCACTGACTTATTCCTCTAGTCCTTTGCCACCCAAACATTCAGACAGAAAAAAAGAGGTGACCTTGCAGCCAAAAAAAATCTTGGTTTCATAATAGGACAAGGCTTTCTAAATACTGAAACTACAGACTATAAACGTGAGCCCACTCTCCAAAACAATAACACTGGAAAGAAAAAGAAACTGAAAACATCCTTCCCTCGTTTCCACCCTGTCCTTTTTCAGAATGAAGACCCAAACATACTGATGTTCCAACTTGTTTTGTATAAATATGAACCAGCAAGGTAGGTATAGTCTACATATGCCCAAAGCAGCAGAGAAAAGGCTGTGAGCATAATTCAGCCAAATTGCCAGTAATAACAGCTTTTTTCTTTCCTCCCCATCTTAGAATGCTTAACACCACACAGCTGTCAGGCTCCAAAGAAAGCACTAAATTCAACTTCTACCTGTTCTTCAAGGTCTCATAATGTATTTATAAAAGCATAACTTCCTTTAAAATACCACAGTATTTTCTATGAGGCACATGAAACCCAAGTCTTTTGCATGAAAAAACTAGCCCACCAGTTGCATTTGGGCTATGCTGAAACCAGATTGGAGCTCAGTGGCTTCTCTATTCAAAAGATCTACAAAGAGAAAATAATGTCAAGGAGAAAGTAAAACTAGAACCTTCTCCTCAACACTGGGTTTTCTATGTGTAAGTATTTATTTATTGTACAAGGGACAGTCAAGTCATATTTCAGGTCAAAAATAAAGATACTGACTTAGTCTGAATATATAATTTTAGCTGACTCCTAAAGTTCATTGGCCATGTGACAGTCAAACTTCTTTAGAACTCCTTCCAGTGAAGAGTCTAAACATCTCCAAGTACAAAATTGTACAAAAACATGTCTCATAATAAGCCTTGACCTTTTCCATTATGCAGAATAAGCTCCAAATACGACAATTTTTCCAACTACGTTTAACCAGTAAAGTAGAATCAAAACAATGGGGGAGGGAGGGCAAACCTTTCACTTTCAGCAGTCTGCATCGTTTCCAGCTTTGAGTGTGCTCCTCTGTTGAACCCTTTCACTTCTTGTTCTTCCAAAGATTCAAGCAATCGAATCACATCTTTATTTACTCCTCTTCGTTTTGCCAGGACAAGAGGTGTTGCACCTTGATGATTGCTATGTGAAGTGGAAAAAGAAAAAAGTTAATAGAACAATTTCTATCTGAAAAATATATTCATATCAACTGTATGAAAAAAAACCCCAGCAGTTTATCATAGCTTATTGAAACAACACCCTATTATTTTTCATCCATAGGCCTGACAGTGCCTAAAGTAATAGGGCAATAATTACAGACAATATCCTATGAATATTAATAGCATATTAATGATCTGACTGAATTTACATGATTACATTTGAAGTCAAGCATTTTGATCTAACAGTTCTCCTCACTTTACTTTCTGTGTTACAAGGATGTTATATTGTGGATTTTAAAATAAAAGGTAATTTAATTAGAGTTCCTTGGAAAGAAAGCTGTTGAGAAATTGCTGCATCTGTCCCACAAGATGATAGAAGTTGCCTTTTTTCAACAAAAAACTGAAAACCTTTAGTAACAATATGGGCATGTAAATAAATACAGCTACTGTATTAAAGCAAAATTAATAAGCTAAAGGTAGAGATACTTGAATCTTTAGAAGTCAAGACTATGTGTAAAACAATTAGGTTTCCTAGGAGATTATTACCCTATCAGGTAATCTCTATCAAGAAAGATACAAAAATAATCTTTGGAACGATATAGTTTCCATTTGAAATCTCACAAGTCTTTGTACATAGATCAGTCAAAAAAAGAGCTTGTGAGACCTGAAACTGAGATAAGAATATTATCTTATTTTCATTAAGGTTTAAGGTTTCAAGAACAGGAGGTATTTGGGAGATATTACCTTATCTGAAACTTCAAAGAGTTGACATTATAAATAGTTATTGTTTTCCAAAACTGTAATTTATTTTAACATGATACCTGAACTATAATTTACCGAATAGTTCTATGCTTACAGCCCTATATAACATTAGCATAGTCTCCATGCATGTCAGCTGAAGCATAAAAAAGCTAATTTTACAATGTTACAGTTGCTACAGGGAAGCTACTTTGCAAGCATCCCCATGTAAGATGCAGCCCATTATTGCAGTTTTACAGTCAGCTTCCTAATGCCATTACAGGTAGTCCTTGTTTAGTGACCACAATTGGAACTGGCAACTCTGTCATTAAGCGAAGGGGCCACTAAGTGAAATCATGACAGCACTTATGATGTTACTTCAGCTTTCCTCTGCTTTAAAGACCTGCGAAGGTGGTAAACATGTGGATTGGTCGTAAGGCTACTTTTTCATCACTGCCATAACTGCAAATGGTCACTGTATGAGGCAGTTGCTAAACAAGGAGTATCTGTACTCTTTCTTAAAACTTTGGTGTTTGTTCTTAAAATAAAAATGCTGGCTAACAATTATCTGTATCTTGGTATCTGTAATAACCAAGCACTACAGGTGGTCCTTGGTTAAAAACCACATGCTCAGCGACTGTTTGAACTTGCGATGGCACTGAACCAGTGGTACGTATGACCAGTCCTGGGAGTTCCAGCCATTGCAGTGTCCCCATGGTCACTATCTGGGTGCTCAGCGCCCAGCTTGTGATTATATTGCAGTCACATGGCTGCCATTTGCAACCTTCTTTGCTGGTTTCCAACAAGCGAAGTCAGTGGGAAAGCTGGCAGGAGGTTGCAAATGGCAACCACGGGACATCCTTGCTTAACAATCTGATGATTCCATTAATCAGAATTATCAGAATGCCAGAATTGCCACCACTAAATGGCACAGTCATATGTCACGCTTTACAACCGCATCACTTAACAACAACTCCAGTCCCAATTGCCATCATTAACTAAGGATTACCTGTAATGGAAAACTAAGATGGATACTTGCTTCTTAGTTTTACTATTTACTGAAGTACTCTAGTTCTTTTGAATTTGAGATGACAGACACAAAGGGGAAATAAAAGCAACTTTTAGGAAACGTGTTCAGAGCTAAATTGGCTAGGCTTATTTAGTTAAATAAATTAGGTAATTAGTTTATTTTAAATTCATGTGTAAAATCACATTTATGCTTTAAAATGTGTACTTTCCACTTTCTTCATTGTTTTTTGCTATCTAGGCTGTAGACAAGGCAGTCCCACCAGGAATTTATTTTACTCAAGAACCATGTATGGTGATAATAGTTACAGCACTGATTCTTCTTTGTAACTTCTGTTCCACTATCAAGAAGTCCATCCCCAAGTTAATTATGACAACCACTGCAAAGTTCATATAAATATATGCTAACATCATAAGTTTTACCTCTTTTTAAGCATCTTAGTCATCACCTCCAAGTGAAATATTGTAACTCAAACATAAAACAAAGAACAGAGGCTTAGCATCAATCATTTAAAAACAATTGTTAAGTTTCAAACCACTAGGATACATGAACAGAGAGTTCAAAGAACAAACAATTCTGGGATTATTGTTAATTGTGTTTGTCAAAAAGCTATTTATCCAGTACACTAAGTGCTTTTGTCTGGGCACTGGCATATGACAGATGCTGGGAGCCTGGTAGAGTGAATATACAGCATTTCAGAGAAAGATTGATTTACAAATTCTGAGAGCTGGTAGGGTGAGCACTGAAAAATAATGAAATAGAAACGACATGTCGAACCATTTCTGTTTACATTGGAACAAATATACATATGAATATATTTCAAGTTGTTAAAAGAGGTCAATTATTTTGAGATATCTCATCTCCATGTTAGAGGTTGGCAACAGAATCAGAACAATGCCATCTACGTGCTCACTCTGGATGAACCAACACAAGTGCCCTCATAATGTTGCTGGACTGCAACTTCAATCCTCATCACCACTGGCCATGCTGGCTAAGACTGAAAAGATTAAATGTTTAACAACCTTTGAAGAGCTATACTGTAATTGTAGCAGCTTGGATAGTGGTGGAAATGGCCACTGTTTGTTGGTTTTTTCATAGCTCCAGTGCAACATGATATAGGGTCATTATTGTACAGAATGTTCATGACAAGAACACACTATCAGGAATAGTTGCAGATAATCTCTGTGCTGAAATTATCCTCCCGACCAGAAAGAATCATAGTTGTAAGTGCTACCTAAAAAATTACAACAGAAGTCGTCATACAATTTTTTTTCTATCTACAGCTACCACAATCCTGAGTTTTTAAAGAATAAGGATCTAGAAGGCTGAAATATATTATTGGGAACTATTCAAAGTTAAGTAGATAAGATTGATTTTTAGCCATATGGTAGAGTGACAAACTTACCAAATATCTATCTTGAGTCCATTGGAGACAAGGAATTGAATGGTATCAACATGTCCACACAAGTGAAGGGCTGTGTTACCTTGGTAATCTGTAGCCAAAAGATCACCCCCAAATTTGTGCAATAACTGAGCAATATCAACATTTCCTCGAGCTGCTGCTAAATGAAGACCTGTTCGGCCACGGCTGTCCCGGATGTTTGGGTCAAAGCCACTCTCCAATAGCCTTTTTGAATAGTTAAAATCTCCATCAATGCAAGCTTGTAGCAGAGGCACATTTGTTTGTGAAGAATCGTTTACAAAGACATAAGACATGACTGAATGGGAAATGTAGCCAATCTGCAGCTGAAAATGAAATGGAAGAAATTGTTGGAAATGAAAAGAAAATGGAAGAAATTTGTTAATAAGAACAATGCCAAAGTTTTAAACAACTATCTTTTTCAAATCAAAAACGATATTGTTGAAATGCAAGATCCAAAAGTTGAATAGTATATATATGATGCTCCACATTATTCTTTGAATAGAAAATATTTCTTGTATTCTTGTTTTGATGGTGTAAATATTGCAATTCTCTAATTTTTGAGAAGTGATTCGGCCAGTATGATGATGCATTCAATGCATTCTTCAGAATACCCCACTTTGATCTCCAGGCTTAAATTATAAATAATATACAGAGAAGAAAATATATTTTTCTTCAATCGTCAAAAAGGCATAAGCCTATATACAGTGGTGCTTAAAATTCTGTGAACCCTTTTGAATTTTCAATATTTTGGCATAATCCTTTGGATCATTTTCCAAACAAGTACAATGTTTTTTACTCAATTGTTTAATTGGGTTCTCTTTATCTAGTTTTAGGATTTGTGTGGAGAATAGATCACATTTTAGGTCATATTTATGCAGAAAAATTGAAAATTTCAAAAGGGTTCATAAACGTTTAAGCACCACTGTACTAGGCTGTCTCAAGGTAACCTAGATGATAATACAGAAATTCTTATATTTGATATTAATAAAGCCAGTCTTAATGGGATTAATTTCTCATGTAACTGCTCCTTATTTACAACAGAACTTCATCATTCAGGCAGTGGTGACTAGCCACTGCTAAAAAGATAATTCTTTTGGTGTGCATCTCATTAGACCTGCCAAAACAACTGTTGCTGCTTTTCCTGTTGAACATTTTCAATTTCCCAAATAATTTCATTCAACTAATATAGACCAAATAGCCAAGATACAGTCAAGAAAGCAAAAACAAACATCTAAGGTTTGATTTATACAGCCCCTTCATTTTCAGAAGGAGCTTATGTGAAAATCTGTAGAAGCTAATAGAGCTTGCACAACAGCTGTGGTTGGCAGAATGCATTTATGATCTCTATTAAACAAACAGCAGCAGAGGAAGATACAGTTTTAAGTGAAAGAAAACCTGGTACTACAGTGTAATAAACACAATCCACCTTCTCAGTTTATAAGCTATACAATAAGCTTCCCAATTTTTCCTTGAGACTTCTTGTTATTATTGGATGGCTGTTAGCTGTTCAGCTTCATCAGAGTGAACTTTGCATGTTCTTACCTTTCACTCCTATGAAAGGTAGTAAATGGTGGAAAGCCCAGGGCCATGCCATGAATGCTGACTGAAATCAATATGCTCCTTGTGTTTCCCGAAGATAATTTTTTTCCAGCCATTGCTGGACATAAAGGTTTTGTCCATATACTCGCTTAGCAGAAGCAGAAGCCAAAATGTGCCCTGCCTGTTTTCTGCTATTTGGAGAAGTGCTGGTGGATGAGGGAGAACAGGAGGGAATCCTGGTGACCATAATTTATGGCTTGGTTTGCCAAAAGGATGCCAAAAATGGCAAATCCTGCCAGGATTTTGTAGGGGAGAAGCTTCAACAACATCTTAGTTCATGGAAGCTTTGAAATATGGCTGCTCAGCCAGGGGATGAGAAAGGCTGTTGTCTATATAAGAATTAAAGGTATTAGGTGGCCCTAATCCATTCAAAGAATATCATTTCTCTATCTGTTCAGAACTTTTCTCTATGCACATTACCACTGAAGCAAAGAAATGTCTTCTCTTAACATTAGAACAAAGGCATTAACAATTGTTCCAGCTTTTTAAAATTTCACAGAGCTCTGCTTTTCATATCTTGTATCATAAAAAATAAGCAAAGCTTTTTGAGATAGCTGCTTTGCAATGTATACAGAATATTAAACTGAGAGAAGAATGGAGAGTACGATCTTAAAATATATTATTAATTGAAATAAGTCACAATTTTCATTTTTGTTCCTTGCATTTGGAAACAATTTTTATCTAACTACCTTCTTATCATCTTTAAGTAGCTATGACTAATGGAATCTGAGAAGTTCTGTAGAGCATCAGCTCCCTCTAGAGTACTGTATTGCTGCAACTTCAATTCCATCTAGTATGAGAGAACAAAGGTGGGAAAGACTGCCTTAATTTCCAGCTTCCAATATGGAATTTTGGTGAGCTGCAGAGCTAGCCAACATCTCAATGAAAGCAACTCGGGCTTCTTTCATCACCTTATCAAAATGTGCAGCCGAACAATTAACTGCACTGTGGCTGGTGTGGGTCTTCCGGGCTGTGTGGCCGTGGTCTTGAAGTTTTGTTTCCTAACGTTTCGCCAGCACCTGT